ATCCCACTGTCAAGCTTACCTATGAAAATGATGCAAAATAGAAAGTTAGCTAAACAAAATAATACACATCTTGCTATTACAAAACATCTATGGGGCATTGCAAAGTTAGGTGGCACTTTATAGATGTTTACAGTAAAGCCATCTTTGAGATGTGGCTTTTGCTCCACAACCCTTAGAAATCCAGTTATGCTTCTCTTCTCTGCTTAAAAATTGTATTTGCTCTGCCATTTGATTCTAGGAGTTCAGCAAGTGCTGCACCCTGCACAGTTCCTCTATGTCTATGTGTACAGTGCTGGGAAGCTGCATTATTCTGGGGCACAAGACTACCTTGGGGGCACAGTTTCTTTGTTAAATCCCTGAGGCAGAGATGGAGCACATCAGGCACACGGTCCTACGTTTTACACCATGCCAGATGCCTGTGGCCCCTCCTCTTGCTCTAATTCACTTCTTAGAGAACCCACAAAGAAAGCCCCTGTCTCTCTCAGATGTCTTTTGCAGTCATTCCCAGTCCTTCTCTACTCTAAGTCCTGGAAGAAGAATTCTCCCTTGCTCAGCTTGTCTCCCATCCTTCTGTAGCTGCCCTCGGGCAAATGAGCCCTTTATTGTTTGATCCAGTTTGGCAGCTGATTTAAACAATCTTCAGAAATCTGTGCTAAGTCTACTCTAGTCTGACTTCACGCCTCTTGAACCCCACAAGCTTTTTGCAAATGAGTCTCCTGCTTTATCAGCTACATAAGTTGTATTTAATATAATCAAAATGCTAAACTGATGAATCTTCTCACTGAGGGCAGATTACAGCTGGATGCATGAAAAGGGTACTCAGACGGAAGGATGACCAGAAACCAATAAGAAAGGGAGCTAGGGACCACAGAACCCCTGATACGCACAATATAGGGGATATTAAAAAGTGGGTAGGAGGCAATGAGCAATAAGCATCCTGGGCCACTATGTCTTTTAATCCTCTGGCTCCCTTTCTGTCTGCATTAGCTGACTTCCGTGGGATGACTTGGTAGGCATTTAAAGAAATGAACTGCACTGTTTTGTCATGTGTAGCACAATAATCGACAGCATCAAATGAACCCAGCACCAAGCTGGGATCACCCAGTTACAGTGGTAGGAGAAATTAAATAGCATTAATTAGAGGGAGAATATGGAACTCTTTCTGCCTGGGATGTGTCTCTTCTCTTAGCTGACAAAAGCCTTCATGGGTTGGCTTATTAAGAGCCAAGTTGATAGGAAAGCTGAAGGGGAAAAAAAGGAGCATTCTCCATCGTGTGCCAACCCAGCTGAGGGAAGATTTGAGTTTGAGACTGGCTTTTAAAGAACAGCAAAAGGTTAATGAATTTTTATCCCAGCCACCATTAATACATCTGAAGGTCCCTCTAACTAGACCACAGACAGCACTTTTGCTCTTATTTAATTACAAGATCAGGTAAGTAATATATGTTAGGGAGAAAGAATCAGAGATAAAAAAGATTTTTTCAGCTTCCAGAAACCAAAACAATCTTCTGTTACAGTAGTCTTCCTATGGGCTATGCAGCTACCTGTACATATTTCGTGTTAAAACTTCCTCCACAACAATTTTTTTTCCAATTTTATTGACATTTGATATAAACCAGACTGCACTCTGCATTAACAACAGGAGCTTGATTCTTTGAGGTACAATGAATTCTCATTTCTCACTGAGCCTGTGAAAGAGGTCGACATGCAAAACTGCTGAAGGTAGGTCCCTTGCATTACTTGGAAATTGCTTTCCTGCACCTTCCATTCTCTGATACATTGGGAAAGGGCCAGGAGAAATACCAGAGTTTCAGTCCTGACTCAGTTCTGTACTCTGTGACTTGAATCCATCCCAGCTTTTATAATAGAACTATAGAATATGAAATATGATATTGCAAACAAAGTGTAGAACAATTAGTTACATTTAATAGGGTTTATTTGCCATCTTTTGGCAAATAAAGCATGTTTGCATATATTCCTTCTCAAAAAATTGCCTTTCCTTTTGTATGTATACTTGCCTTTTTTCTATACTAAGCAGTTAATGACATTCCAAACTACTAAACAAAAACCTGAGAACATCTTGGACAGTAAACTGTTTTTCCCATTGTATTTCTATACAATGCCTAAAACAGACTAGTCCTGATTTTTGAACAGAACCATCTAGGAATTTTTGTTATTTAGAAAAATAATATTTTTATTTATCTCATTAATTTAAAAAAAAAGTTCTTTCATTTACCTGATTCCCTTGTAAAAAACAAGGAAGAAAAGTGACAATAGATTTCCATAAAATACCAGTATAGTACAAGCGCAGTATTTAGGAAATCACCTACAAGTGAGCTAGAATTACAGATGATTAAATTACAAAATGTCCACCTCAAAAATGGACTGAAAAATTGCAGACTATCGAATAAAAACATTCTTTTTGGTCAACATTATTTGCTAAATTCAACCTAAACATATTAATAATTTTGCTCAACCCACAATTGCATTTTTTGGTTAATATATTAATTGTCCCTCCAACTTCTCTCAGCTTTTCTTACATGCCCTATCTCTCTACTTTCCTTTAACAGATAATGGTGTATCTTTCCCCCATATTAGAAATATAACCTCTCTTAAAATGATGCTTCTACGAAAAACCTCACTTGGAGATGCTGTGACACTTGATTGACTTGAAAACTCTGCCCAAGAAAGACAGGATATGACAGCTGCGTGATTCCCGAAGATGCTTGAAAGGGCATCCAATAGATAATCTATCGCACAGATGTAATGTTACAGCTAGAGGGAACAATGAACTGTGTATACGAGAAATTGTAGGCCAGTCAAATCAAAGAGAGTAAAGAGGAAAAAAATCATAGGAGAAAACTTGAGCTGATCACTTTTTTGTTTCCTGTAGAACTCAGAAGAAGGAATATGTGGACACTGAATTTCCCTACCCCAGCCTTTTCCAGGTTTTACCTATAAGCAAGAGGAGCCAAGAAGGCATCAATGTCACTCCACCAAAACGCTCACTTTCTCACTCAGAAGATGTAAATCTTAGAGAGCAGTCTTGACTAAGGGCTGCCTGCAAAAGCTACAGAAGAAGCTTCACTGGTCAGTTTAAGGGCAGGATTCTTTGTGCACGGATTTAAATGGGAAGTTACTTTAGCTTCAGGGAAGCAGAATCTAGCTCAGAAATCTCACAGTGCAATACATTAGACAAATATTATTAATTACAGTTAAATTAAATGCAAAACATATATTTTACCATTTTATGATGCAGCGTTATTTCCTAAAATGTCAATAAAGGTTAAAAAGAAATGGCCTGGTTGGTTTGTTAAACCATGTGAGTTAATTTCCAGTTGCTGCTTATTTTAAGAAAGTAAGAAAGAATCTGCAGCATCATAAAAATACAGATTCTGTTTCTTATATTTTCTTCTCATAAAAAAAGGGAAAGAAAAAAATGTGAAAGAGTTTAGAGCTAGGGTATTTGGTTTGAGGATCAGTTGAATATTTCATTTTGTCTGTAGCACTAATTATAGACTTGATTATTATATAAATATTGTTTCGTATTAGTTCCATGGCCAAACTTCTAAATTTAGAATTAATCTTTTTTTTCATGATGCAGTTTCAATAATAAACATTATGATCAAGTCTAGGTGTATGTTACAGTATTAAAATGCCTCCTTTTTAAGCACTCGCTGGGATCACTGTTACTGCTCTGCTATGGCTTAGCTAGTCTGCCTGTAAAAATGAAGATTTATTTTTATGTGGCTTGAACTAAAACGACTGATTTTTGATGTGTGCTCACCCTTAACTATTAACATTGTGTGCAATGGCAGTTTATATGTTTTATTTTCAAATAAACAGGCAAATGGACTGTTATTTCTATAAATACTAACAGGATCATGCCCAAGCACTGGGATTTTTCAGCCTGGAGCAAGAGGAAACCACACATTTTCTGTTTATTTTTGTGGGGTTTACTATTTTAAGTAACATCAAGCCCTGGAGTGAAGATATTCTGACATTTCTGGTTACTTTGAAGGAAAAAAGTCCCAATAGTTTCTTGGCAAGTTAGGTCAACTTATGCTAAGTCACTGAGTGATAAAAAAGTATTCTCTGTGACAACAATACATGCAATGTCCTCCTGGATGTCCATCACCAAGTCTCTTGCAATGGAGCTCAAAAGAAATACATAGGAAGATGGGAAAATTGTTGATGGAGCCCTGGTCCTACTAACATCTATCCAAATCTACTCAAGTGCATAGTGCCATTAAGTGTGATTGTGCAGGGATATTTGAGAACTGTCCCTGTCTTCTTAACTGAGAACAGATGTTGACAGTGATATCAGATGCTCTTTTCTGTTCTCTCTTCCCCTGACCTCAGTTTTAACCCATTCATGAAGACAAAATGCCAAGGTTCTTGTGCTGCCTTTGGAACAGTAAAATCTGAGCATCAGCTGTATGGTTTAGACCTGTGCACTAGTAAATGTTGTTTTGGTTTTCCTTTGTAGCTGGCTACTTATGTTTGGAAGGGGCAGAAATGGACAATTGTCTGGGTTTTTTTGAGCAATACCTCTGCATCTTTTGCTTGGCTTCACTTAGTAATAACCAGTTGATTATCTGCAGGTAACAAAGTACTGGTTGAGAATTTTAACTTGCTTTTTGAATAGACAAATTGACACACCATTAGATGACTGAGGTTTTACAAGGCTATGACTATCCTTTGAAACTGAAGGCTTTTTGCAGCCCAGAGTTGTTCCTCTAAATCTCTGGTCAGTTTACAGTTTGACCTCTCTATCTCATTTCTTTGCAGTAATAAAATCCTCTAATAAATATAGAGAAAAATGATTGAAATAGGTAAATACAGAAAAATTAGTGAAGGAGAAAGCTAATGAACTCAACTGCAATCACTATGCCACTATTGCCTTAACTTAAAAGTATTGATTAAATAACTGAATATTTACATCTTGTACTGGAACTGCTGAAGGCAAATGATGCATTGCAAAGCAAACACAAGCTGACCTTTGCACGTTTTCCCATCAGGCTGCAGGGTAAATCCAACTGGGCAACTGCATCGTACTCCTGTCGCGGTATCCTTGCAAGTCCGATCACAGCCTCCATTATTGACAGCACATGTTTCTGCAGAATGAAAGAAAAAGAGAGAGAGAGAGAGGGAGAAAGGGAGTGTAATGAAATGTTCTGGGGGAGGGGAGAGGCACCGACCCTTTGGGGCAATATTACAACATTACGAAAGCAATCTAAGTTTAAGCAAGCCAACTGAAGCAAGCTCTCAAGGTCATTAGGGCCCATGTACTGGTTTTGACTGGTAAATCATTTCCACAAGTCACGATTTCTTTCTCCCGCCAAACTGGTGTTTTTATTTATTATATTTAGTTAGTGCTTTTGAACTGTCTTAGACAATAGGATGGGTTATTACATATGAAACAAGTTTAAAAAGAAAAAAAAAGTGATTGCCTTTAAAAGCAGAACCAAACATTCAGTCTGTTTTGTATCAGTCAATGTCTAGCTGAGGCTTTTTAAAGGTTCATTTTTTTAAATGATGTTGTAGGCATAATGAACTTTAAAAAGCAGTGGAAAGCGAAGCAGAGTGCTAGACTTGGAACTGAGAATTTAAAATCCTTAGTTAAGAAAGAGTTAATGGAAAATGAACTACATATATCACTTTGACAAGAATCTACATGCCCAATCTGTTCTTACTGAACTACAAGCAAAAGGCATCTGGGTTTTGTCCACTTAAAGCTTTTTGCAAATTGAAAGGAGTTTGGAGTGGGTGGGAGGGCATAATTGAGGTCACTGAACCCATTCCAAGCTGTGTCATTGAAATTTCCCAGTGCTTGTAGTATGTAGAAGGGTGGCTGGGCAAACACAGGCAAGAGAAAGCTGCAATACTTCTGAGTTTTTACAACAGTGGGCAATGACTATCAGGTACCACTACATGAAAAAAATAATCTTCAACTTCATTACAGAAAAAGCAAAAACCCCGCCCTCATTGCCATTATTTTCTGTTACTCGTGTGTGCACATGTGCACACCGTACACATACATACGCACATACCCACACATCCATAAAATAGATAAAATGCAAGTGAAATGATTAACTTTGCTTTGATCCAGAGAATAGAGTGGATGTAAGGATGCCAATTTAGCACATCAGTTTGAACTGTGCATTTATCCGAAAAGTATTTACTTCAGAGAGCAAGTCCTTTTCATAGTATCTTTCTCAGTTGCTCTGGCTTTGATTAAATTAAAATACCCCCCTGCTCCCTAAGACTGCCATTATTCTACTCAGCTCACCTCATTCTGGCTTTCCCTAAAGAGGCTTTGTCATTACCTACTCAGATTTACAGACTCCTATTGCTAAATATTCACAGTCTGTGTCACAATTGTACCCTGTGGACAGGGTCTGACAATAAGCTATAGGATATACTAATCGGTAATTGCCTTAGAACAGTACATTGATCAAAAATTATTTACACAGAACAGAAAAGGCTTTATCTTTCAGTTGACTAGTACTCAAAGATTTTTATTTTAAAGTAGCCTCTGCTAATGCCCTGAAGGTGAACTTAGACTGGCCCTCTGGGGGGACTTCACTGCTTCAAAATAAGAAAAAAAAAGTGTAACTGTTTTTTTTTTCTTTTGCACTGGCACAGACCTCTACATCAGTTGTGGAATAAGCTGCTGGCGCTTATGAACAAACTGAAAGCAAGAGGTTGGGGCACACATGCATTAATAGCATGGGACAGAACTCTGCCAACCATATATATTCACACATGCTCTACTAGATAGATTTTAAATCTTTTATGCCATGTGTGCTATGTAATAACATCATGTGGAAAAAGCAAATCGGTATACAAATGGATTTGCATAACTGCTAGCAAGCACAGCTAACAAATGGATTGACATGTTTTCTGGAACAGTTTTCTGAAAATGGAGCTGACTCTGCAACTCCTTGTTTTCAGGCGGAGTTCTTGCTCACCTTAGGTACTACTTGCAGGACCTGAACATAGCTGTTTAAGTAATATAGTTCTGATTTTCATTTACTCCCCTGGGAAAGACTATTTTATAGACTTAGAGGCTGACACTGCTGCTTGAAGAACTCTTCTGTAAATGACAATGCTGGCATTTCCATTTTTATGTGGATGTGTGTCCTCAAAGGCCAACATATCAAATGATTTTATGTTTCAGAGAAGGGAAACCAAGTTTCAGGTCATTTAAAACTTTTTTACTTGGGTACAGTTTAATGGTAGGATGATTTGCTAGGAGTAAAGAGTTAAGATTAAAAAACAGGAAAAAGTGCTGAAGATGTACGTTTGGCATGGCACTGCAAAGAGCAGTAAATCTTACGTTAGCAGATTAACTTTGGCATATGAAGAGTCCTTTATTGCAGTTCATCAACACGAGATGAACATAAGCAGTAATATTTCTGCTTTCTGGATGACATCCAGTGAAAATGAATAGACACAACAATTTTTTTTTCCCATGGCATGGATGACTGGATCTATAGGGTAAGGGTCATTCAGTGAACAAGAGTTATTTCTATGTATAAATAGAGGGAATCAAGCCAGCTTTTCTTATTTTCACAGAGATTTAGTAAAACAAACCAAAAAGGATAAATACCCTTCAACTTTCCTGGTGACTCTGACTTTAATACATGACGAACTCTAACAGAATGAAGATCCAAGTGAGAAAGAGGACATTTGACAGTACCTCTAACATTTTGGATAACTGGAGAGATGTATTGGTGAAATTCCTTAAACTCAAGGTCGTGAGAAAACATTGGTAAAAGAAAGTGAATGTGAATAGCAGAATGTGGGAAAGAGGTATTATAAGCTACCTCAAATAGAACAGCTGAGGCCTATACACAACATAAACCAAAGCGCGTCACCACCTGTGTTTCTGTTAGAAATGACTTCAACTCATTCTTCACCTCACCACTATCTAACTTTAGTATATATTTGAAATGCAAATCCAAATTCTAGGTTTCAAATAAAGAGCAGAAGCAAATTACTTATTTCCAAGCTATCATGTTGGAGAAGCTATACTTATATGGAAGGGAAGGAACGGATGTTCAAAATTTGGATCAGATCTTCATGGTGATACTGATCCTACAGACCATTTTCCACTGTTTTTTTCTCTGTGAAAAGCAACCTGAGCATATTTATTACTCTTCTTTTTTGTTTGTTTCAGACTTTTTGGCACATTTCTGATGTTTTTTGTTCTGATGAGGGAGAGGAAAAAGAACTGGAAGACACAAATAAAGCAATGTCACGTAACTGACATTTAGATTCCTTCTGAATTATAATAAAACTCATCATTTGAAACTATTAAACTTTAGTGTGAACATAAAGTGATGTTTGCAGCCCCACTTACATCCTTATTGAATTCCCACCAGAAAACTCAGACAGAAACAGGGATCTAAAGAAAAGGACATCTATTTACATAAGGCAGTCTGGGACAGCTTACGTTGTGTTTTTCCACTGTAAGCTCATAATTCTGGAATAATCTTATGCATCTGCGCCCTGGATCTATACACAAGAAGTAACCAAAATCATTACCAACATGCTATACCTATAGTTTACTCAATTAGGATATTTGTTATTTTAACAATAGTCCATTGCACTATGGATATGCACTGCTTCTGGATATTAAAATATCCTACTAAAAAGCACAAGCTTGAGCTGTTGGTCCTTCAGCACTGGATCAAGAATGTTGACTAAGTTACCAGGTGAAGTTACACGGGTATTCAGTACTTTAATATGTCACTTCAGTGTCTGCAAGGGTTTGGCAGTGAAAGATCAGTTCTCCAGGTTCTAGTTCTGAAGTTTTTGAAGTAGTGGCAATAGAGCCTGGTCACTTTCTTAAAAAGAAGACTGACAACACCAGACAGGATTTATTTGGCTTTGAATACTATTAAATGCCTGAAACTCTGAACACATGTGTCATGGTTTGGGAACATTTCTGAAAACCTAAATTGCAGATTCTTTTATGAACCAGGTAAACATAACCATTCAAAATATAAGCTTCTATTCAAATCTGATTTTTGGAAGTGGCCAATTATTTCATAAAGCCATTGAAAAACTGCCTCGAAGACAGGTGTCTCCCAAATCTGCCTCCAATTTTTGTGACTTCATTTTATCTCTATGATCAAAAGAACATGATGTGATTTTAAGGGTATTGCTCAAAATCAGATGAATCTTGAAATCTTTATTATTTGCTTTGGCAGCCTGGGTCAATTTGAACTAAGACCAAAACCAATGTTTTAGGAACTGAGATATGGTGCAAAGCAGAACAAACTTATATAGGTCTATGGGACTAGAAAGGATACATCTGAAGATCATACAGTAATATATGTCTTAGTGAGGTCACTCTCTATAATCTTTGATAAGTCATGAGGACAGGGTAGGGTTCAAGATGATTGGACAAGGTAAACATCAAGAAAGGCAAAAGGGGGGATCTGGGGAACTACTGGCCAGCCAGCCTCACATCAGACCCCTGTAAGTTTACGCAGCAAATCATCCTGGAAGCCATTTGCAAGCACATGAAAGATAAGAAGATAATTGGGAACAGCCAGCATTGACTTACGGAGGGCAAATAATGCCTAATTAACCCAATTGCCTTCTACAATGACATGACTTACACTGTGGATAAGGGGAGAGCTGTGGATGTTTTTCACCTTAAGTTTGGCAAGTGCTTTGACATGGTCTTCCATAGTATCTTTATGTCCACAGCGGTGATAGATAGATTGGATAAGTGGATAATACAGGGAGTGGAAAATTGGCTGGACAGCTGGACTCAAAGGATTGAATCAGTGTACAAAGTCCAACGGGCAGTCTGTCACTAGAGCTATCCCTCAGCCTCAGCTAATGACATTAGGGCCAATACTGCCTAATGTCTCTACTAACAACCTGGACTATGGGATGGATGGCACTTTCTGCAAATTTGTGGATGATACCAAATTGGGGGAGTGGTCAATACATAGCAGAGACGGGCTGCTATTCAGAGGGGCCTTAACAGGTTGGAAAAAATAGCCTGAGGGGAACATTATGAGCTTCAATGAAAGGCAAACCCAAGTCCTGTGTATGGGATGCAATAATCCCATACAACAGAACAGGCTTAGAA